TGCCATTAGGATGAAGAATATGATAAGGTCTCAGCTTGAAACATTCTAACAGCTTTTAAATGGGAGCTCTTTGGCAGCAAATAATAGCAAAACTAAAGACCACTGGCGTGATACTTAGAGAAAATAATTTTTTTAGAATGTTTTCGTGTTACAAATGAAAGAATGTATAATGAAGCTTAAGAATCATATTGAAATGTTTCAATCAGCTCCCGTCCAGCTCTCAAAAACACCACCCGTCCAGCTCCCATCTATAATGAAGCTTATGCATCATATTGAAATCTCTATGTTAAGTTCCCAAAAACACCACCCGTCCAACTCTCATCTATAATAACCTTTACCCAACCATGTGTATGAGTATGGGGTTGCCATCTAACAAGTAGAGGCCTTCCATCCATTCCCATTGCCATAACAGAACTAGTTAAGGGACTTCCCAAGTTGCGCAAAGTTTTAAAATAATGAGAAAGAATGTAAGAACCATAAGAACCATAAAACCACTGAAGGGAAGGAGACGAGGTTCTTATCATATTTATGTGAAGCATTCCAAGCTGCCAGTATCTCTTCCAAAAAGCAAGTTTGTGCCCATTTAACCTGAAAAAAATTGCCAACCATCTGCCAAATAGATTGGCAGAAGAAGCATTCAAAGAAAAGATGCCTGATAGACTCTTCACCACAACTGCGAAAATAACACATTTAAGCCATTCTCAGCCCCTTTAATTTTGAGATATCACAAGAGGAAGCATAGAGAAGAAAAACCTCCACAGAAAGAAGGATATAGAGGGGGACATATAACCATGTCATAAAAAATGAAACCATGCAAACATCTTTAAGGCAAAATTTAAGTTTATCTTTCTCGCACTCGTAAACTTTCATGCAATCATTTTTTATTGTGTTTCTTGAATTATTGTGTTTCTTGAAATCATTTTTTATTGTGTTTCTTGAAACAATTTGAAAGTTATGATTCAACATTTTTAATAATATATTGAACCAATTATGTTTAACCATCATGAATGGGTACTCATGTACAATTATCATTTTCGCAATCACCTCTCTTATAAGTTGTTGATCGTAATTTTTAGAATCATAAGAAATAGGAATCTCTAATTCACCCTGAACTTCAGGAGGCAAAAAGTTGAGTAACTTTTGTCTCTTTTCTGATAAGTCAACTTGTTGTTGATTCTTCGCTTTTATCTTAGCACATTCTTTAACATGCCTAAAAAGCTGTGAGGTTGTACTTGACTTTGGTTTGAGGATTTTCACCCCACAACAATATGATACTATGATACATCAACCCCCTTTGAATTTGATTTAATATATATAAAATACTCCCAGACAGCTGATTTCTCTTCCTGCCTTTCGTACCTTGTATTTTAGTACCAGTGCTTCCAACAGTGTTCAATAGGTTGAAAACTATCGATTCCTTCTTATGTTGCAAGTGATAATTGTTCGTCATTTGAGACAGATTGAGAATGTTCAACATTTGACATTATAAATATCTATAAAAAAATATAATATTCAATGGTGTGTAATATACAAAAAACACTGAATGGTGTAAAAAAGCATTGAATATTTAATGTCTCGAAAATAAGACTTGAAAACAACACTTTAAATGCTCCAAAACATATGATTCACTTTATTCACTAACAACTTGTTAGTAGCATGTTTCCAAATAGCAAGTATAACAAGCCAAAACAACACTTTAAGGGCTCCCAACAATAAGTATAACTACCCTAAAATAGCCCTAAAACAATGTTTTTAATGTCTCCAAAACAGTGCTCAAAACTGCCTTAAAGTGATGTTTTTAATCTGTAAAACAATGCACAAAATAACCCTAAAATGATGCTTTTAGGGTCTCAAAAATAACCCTAAAACAATGTTTTAAATGTCTCCAAAACAGTGCTCAAAACAGCACTAAAATGATGTTTTTAGTTTCTATAAAACATCGCACAAAACAACCCTAAAATGTCTCCAAAATAGTGCTCAAAACAGCTCATATGTAGACAATATAATCATTGTATGGTTACATGTATGTAAATATACTAATAATATATCATATAGCTGTTAATCCATTTATGCAATGCCACAAATTACTTTTCATGTCAATATATGCTTCATTTCTTACAAGTGAACATGTCTGCTCAAATAAATATCATCTATTCACTAACAACTAGTTAATAGCATGTTTCGAAACAGCAAATATAACAAGCCAAAATAACACTTTAAAGGCTCCCAACAACAAGTATAACTACCCCAAAATAACCCTAAAATAATGTTTTTAATGTTTCCAAAAAGTGCTCAAAACAACCCTAAAATGATGTTTTTAATATGTAAAACAGTGCACAAAACAACCCTAAAATGATGCTTTTAGGGTCTTAAAAACAGCCCTAAAACAATATTTTAAATGTCTCCAAAACAGTGCTCAAAACAGCCCTAAAATGATGTTTTTAATTTTTGTAAAACATCGCACAAAACAACCCTAAAATGTTTCTAAAACAATGCTCAAAACAGCTCATATATAGACAATATAACCATTGCATGGTTACATGTATGTAAATATACTAATAATATATCATATAGTTGTTAACCCATTTATGCAATGCCACAAATTACTTTTCATGTCAATAAATGTTTCATTTCTTACAAGTGAACATGTCTGCTCAAATAAATATCATCTATTCACTAACAACTAGTTAATAGCATGTTTCGAAACAGCAAATATAACAAGCCAAAATAACACTTTAAAGGCTCCCAACAACAAGTATAACTACCCCAAAATAACCCTAAAATAATGTTTTTAATGTTTCCAAAAAGTGCTCAAAACAACCCTAAAATGATGTTTTTAATATGTAAAACAGTGCACAAAACAACCCTAAAATGATGCTTTTAGGGTCTTAAAAACAGCCCTAAAACAATATTTTAAATGTCTCCAAAACAGTGCTCAAAACAGCCCTAAAATGATGTTTTTAATTTTTGTAAAACATCGCACAAAACAACCCTAAAATGTTTCTAAAACAATGCTCAAAACAGCTCATATATAGACAATATAACCATTGCATGGTTACATGTATGTAAATATACTAATAATATATCATATAGTTGTTAACCCATTTATGCAATGCCACAAATTACTTTTCATGTCAATATATATTTCATTTCTTACAAGTGAACATGTCTGCTCAAATAAATATCATCTATTCACTAACAACTAGTTAATAACAAGTTTCCAAACAGCAAGTACAACAAGCCAAAACAACACTTTAAAGGCTCCCAACAGCAAGTATAAGTACCCTAAAAAAGCACTAAAACGATGCTTTTAATGTCTCATAGTAGCTCAATTTAAGTACATTCAAGAAAAGTTGATATTTTTAAGGCACTTTGCCTCAAACATCTTTTTTGTCGTAAACTGTCTTTGACCTGATTCAGTTTGATTTATCTTTTTATATTTATTTTAAAATATGTCACATGATTACATATATAATTATGACAATCTTATATGCATGTACAAGCACAGCCTCTCTAACACATATAAGAAAAGAGGTTGTTTGGAGCATGTGCCCCTCATATCTGATATCTTTTTACACTTTAAACATACAGATTGTGCCCCTTAAAATATTATTAATTTATATACCATTTTAAGAAAAAAATTTCTACTTCCAATACATATATATATATATATATATATATATATATATATGTTGGAAGTAGATTTTTTTTCTTAAATACATGCACACACAAGCGCGCACGCACACACACATAATTACGAGCTAACTCGGATCAATTTAGGCTTTTCTTAAAATTGGATTAAAGATTGGATTGAATCAATACTATGACTCATAATTTTACTCTGATTTCAATTCAAGTTAAACAATAATTCATTTTTATTTAACAATATTCAATTCTAAATTTTGCAAACTATTCTTAAGCTTTCATCCATAATGATGGAAAAAATAGTGTATTTTTTTGGCAGAAATTTTCACACATGCAATAAGGTAATACAATGTTATTGCATGAACTTAGGGTTGTTTTTACATACCTAACACATAGTTCTTATGTATTTACATTTCTCCAAACTAAATAATCTGACATACATTTTATGTCAAATAATAATAATAATACAAAAATTAACTCATAAAATATCTACATGCCCTCATACAGAAATATCAGAAACTTCAAAACCTAGGTTTCACACAAAAAAATTAAATAAACCGAAAAAATTTCTAAAAATTTAAGCTAAGAGGCAAACCTGATTACCTGAAGATAAATATGAAATATTACAAAAAATCAAACATGAATATCGACCAACCAAGCAAGAATACCGAGCAACCAAAGTAATGAACACCGAAGCAAGAATACCGGGTCGATCCAACGCCGACTCACCGAGGAAAAATACATTTTATCAAAGAAAAATAGAAGTAGAGATTAGAGAACGAACACAAAAAATCAACCTCAACTCTAAGCTCTCACCAAGACAAAGATTTTCGCAATTTTGAGACAAGTTCTCACCGAGAGAAGCTTTTCACGATTTTGATAGAATAAGATGGTTCTCGATCTTGAGAGAAGGAGCAGCCGGAGGAGAAAGATCGGTTGCGGTCTCGTGCTTCCATGAGAGGAGAGCGGCGTGAGAAGAGAGCGGCGAGCTTTTCACGATCTTGAGAGGAGCAGCCGGAGGAAAAAAGATCGGTTGCGGTCTCGTGCTTCCGTGAGAGGAGAGCGGCGTGAGAGGTGAAAAAACGAACGGGGGTTAGCACTTCCTCTCTTTCATTTCCTTTATATATTATAATATAAAAATAAAAATATAATATACTATAATAATTATATACCTTATATTATATAAATATATAATACCTATATTATTAGAGTTTAGATAGTATGTAAATGTATTATTATTAATAATTTATTTTACATTATAATTTACAGGTTTTAAATTTTAATGAATCAATCGAATACGAACTAACATATCACTGTTCAGCACATGGAACCAAAAAAAATAATTCGTGTCGGTCTAGTATCCAACGAATCGAAGACGAACCCTGACGAATGAACTGTTCGCGAAGAACGAGCTTGACAGCCCTACCTACCTGCATGCACGGTTGCACGCCGTGGAGGTAAAGAGCTAAGTTGGGCTAGGCGAGAGAGAGCTATGGCGAAAGCGTTGGCTGCGGCGAGGGTAGGATTCCGGCGGTTGTTATCCATCTCCGCCTTCACTCCTCCTCCTCCCGCAACCGTCCCGCCGCCGGCAGAGCCCTCACCAAACCTTTTCGTATCGGGCAAGTACAAATCTCTGTATTCTTCCTTTCTATTTTGAATTATTCCTTTCCTCTTTTTTGTTAAAAATGCATTCTCGATACGATTTTAGATGCCCAAATAAAACTTCCCTGAAAAATTCTTATTTATCTGTAAACGATTTCTTACGGTGACATTAGAAATAAGAAGAAACGATCAGTGCATTGCTAGCGATAACTCACTTATCTGGCGTCGGCCTGGAAAAAAAACTAAGCGATTTTTCAGTTGTTTAGCCGGATAATGAGAGTTCATTCGACGTTTTTGACGTATGTTCGGCTGAAAATCCCCTGGAACCTCTGATTGAAGAGCCACAACCAGTTCGCGATTTTACTTGGAAATGGAATACAGATACATTAAAAGTGTTTAATCAGTATTCTCAGTAGTAAACCCTAATTGTGGAAATTGACTTAGAACTCTAGCTGATAAGTCTGCAGCCGCGACACTGTATTCTCCTCCGCTTTATAAGAAATATACTCGAGTTCTGGTGAAGGTTAAGTATCCGGTTGATGTTATTCATAGATATTAACAATGTTGAATGGTGGAAAAATGTTCAAGTTTTGTGATAAAGCAACAACATATGCATTTTCATTGATCTTTTGTGTAATAGTCAAGGGACCGAGGTTTAGCTTCTTGTATCGGGGATGTGAAAACAGTAGCTAAATTATCAACAACTTTGCTTTGAGGTTTAGGAAGAATGAAGATGTCCACAGCAAGCAATGTGGATAGATGTATGATGGAACTATAAGCAAATTTGGCTTACATAATACTTCATTCTATTTTTTACTTTGTTCACTTGCTCAACACTGCACCATATTTTTTGGAGTCTATTACAACATTTGTTTGCCCGTCTGTGGAGAGGCTAAGGGAGCTCATTCCGGGGTCTCTATGTACTCATTTTCATAACTCTTGCTAAAAGTGTTGTGAAAAAAACGACGACAATAAAGCGAAAAACAGATCAAAAAATTATTACACCAGAAAATGCGATACAAGATTTACGTGGTTCGGCAAATTGTCTACGTCCACGGAGCTGTAGAGGATTTTATTAATTGAGGAATTACACCCGTCGATCACCTCGACGATCACAAGAGAAAAACTCTTTCTCTCTTCCTCCCTCTCTCTCTCTCTCTCTAATGCTACGTGAGAGGTGGAATAAACAAAAGAGAAGCAAGATTCCCTTTCTCTACCAGAAAGCCAAAGGAGAAGAAAATAAACAGAGCCTTTTCTTTCTCTCTCTCCTGTAAGTCCTCACCAAAGAAGCTAGGGAGCCAATGCTTCTATGCAATTCCTTCTTCCGTTATTTAAATGACCCAATGTAAGGCCCATTAAGGCAAACTTTCAATTGTCAAATCTCAGTTCCAATAATTGGTAAACAGCAGATGAGGAAACCGCATAAATTGCGAATCCAAATCAATTGGCGAGGTCCAGCTTCTTCGTTATTAGCAGAAGCAAGAGGCGGGAAGGAGAGATTAGGCGGGTTACAAACAAAAGCAGGAAATATAATTAAGAAGGATTACATTAGAGAAGAATTAAATGATTTCTATAAATATGAATCTGCCGTAATAGGAAGTGAACCGAGCCTCCACCTTCCTCAACAAAAAGCAACTCATGAGCTTGAATTTTTTTTATCGGAAGTGAAACTCTTTGGTAATCCATAGAGAAAGATGATGCTCCTAAAGAATATTCAAGCAATGTTGAAAGCGTCAAACGCATTTTTGCAAACAATGAGATGCGATATTTTTTAGAATAGATCCATTACAATCATGGTAGAGTGAACTCCATTTTTAGCCTTTGGTAAGCCGAGAATGAATTCTATACTTAAATTTTCACAAATTGTTTCTGGAATAGGTAGAGTTAGATACGAACATGTGCTTTGTGAAGTTCCTTTATAATTTTGGCATGTAGCATAATGTTAAATAGACCAAAAAACATTTATGTGAAGCTTTGGCAAAAAGAAATGTGTATGTAATTTAGATTTCATCAACAAGGAATTGAGATTGCATCAACTTGACATAAAAATGATTTCTTGACTGGGGATCTAGAAGAAGAAGTGTAAATGAAAATACCACCAGGATTGAATAATGATTCCAACAAATACCTTGTATGCAATTCAGAAATTCTCACTATGGGCTTAAACAATCACCAAGGGCGCGGTTTGAAAGTTTTGCTAAAATTATGAAATTCAATTGATATTTTCGAAGTCAAGTTGATCACACATTGTTCATAAAATACATCCAGTGAGATGAGACTGCTGCATTGATCGTATATGTAGATTATATGATTCTTACTAATGAGGATGAAAGTGAAATTCTTAAAATCAAAGAATTTTGGCTACTGACTTTGAAATCAAATACATGTGAAACGTGAGATATTTTCTAGGTATTGAGATAGCAAGGTTTAAGAAAATGATTATTGTATTACAGAGGAAATGCATCCTAGATTTGTTAAGAAAACTTGAATGATTGAATGCAAACCCACTGATACTCCAATAGAACTCAACAATAAGTCTAACAGAGAGGAAAAACATATTTGTGAATAAGTAAAGATACAAATAATTGGTAGGAAAACTCATTTATTTGTCACATATTAGGCTAGATATTACATACTTTATCGGTATTGTGAGCTAACATGGGAATTATCCAAAAGAAGAGTATTTGGAGATGGTTTACAAGATTCTAAGATTTCTCAAGAAGTCTCCTAGCTATAGATTATTTTTTTAGAAAATCTGAAACAGAGAAGTGGAAGTCTATACTGACGCTAGTTGGGCTGGAGAACTCGCTGACAGAAGGTCCACCACCTGTTATTGCTTATATATATGGGAAAATATTGTTACATGGAGAAGTAAGAAGCAAACTATTGTTTCGAAAAGTAGTGCAGAATCAATGTATATGATACTTGCTTTAGGGATCTATGAATAGATATGGATTCATTAATTGTTAAGGGAACTGAGTTGTTGTTCCAATAGACCTACACAGATGTTTTGTGACAGTCAAACAACTATTAGTATTGCCAAGAATCTTGTGCATCATGACAGGACCATCCGTATTGAAGTTGATGGACACTTCATCTCTGAAAATGTTAATGGGGGAGTTATGCAACTAAGCTACATCCCAACACACTAAAAAGTTGTTGATGTCTTTATCAAAACTCTTCCTTTCAGCACCTAAGAATTCAATACCAAGCTCAGTCTTTACATCATTTAAGACCCAGCTTGAGGGAGAGTATGGATGTCTAAGATGTCTTTTCCATATTTACCTCTCATATGGGTTGACCACTGCCTTCAAATCTTGGAGGATTTGATTGGGTATATCTTAGTAAATATTTGATTGGTTTCTTTCATTCCTATTTAATGTTGTTTTTTTTCCAAAAAAAAATTCCTTTCCTAATTTAGGTGAGATATATTTGGTGACTTTGTAAATAAAGAGGGATTGGTTTCCCTATTTGTGAATAATCACGAAAACAATTTTTCTCCTCATATAAGTTCTAAGATCATATCGAATACATTTATAACTTATCCTGAATTGAGCCTTCTAGGCTTTCAGTATGTCTAGCTACTAACTGCTAAGAAATCTCATTGAGATTGCTTTTAGCACTCGATTGATAAAATTCTTCTATTTAAGCACTTACAGTTCGATCTTTCTGCATATGTTATTGGTATTGTAGATAGTGCATATGTTCGTAGCCAGTGGGAAGGAAGTGGCTTTGCATGAAATGTTTCATCCTTGCTCAACTCTTTACCCTTCGACAGCCTTCATGCTAGCGGTCTTTAACCAGTTGCAACCACCACATTCCTGCCTCACCCTTCGGTCTATCGACTGCACGCTTCACTTATTTTACCGGTGAGATCTACATATACTCAAAGAAGGCATCAACAACTTATTGCAAGTCCAACTAGTCATTTACATGTAAATGGCCGTCAAAATAGGGGATGTCTAGCTTCACTTTGTAGTCTGCTTCACACATTTGATGAGGAGGGGGTTGTGGCCAGCATTTTTTATCATTTTCAGATTTAAAATCTATAACATCAGGTCACAAATGAGGCAATAGCCGGTCATCCTTGAGTTCAGTAGTGTGGTAAGGTTTGTTGGCTCAGTTTGTATGGGTTTTCTTGGTTCTCGAATCGGCAGATCGGATTCCCCTATGTTGATGTCGTTGTTAGTATGATCACTGTTTGGGGATTTTCATAACTTCTGGAGGATCTAAATCTCACCCCACCTCCACAACAAACTATTGGAAAACCGCGTCCAGCGATTCAACTTGTAGGTGTGAGTGAACAATGCCTCATGCACCATTTTTCAATGACGATCATAGTCTTTTATGTCTTGTTTGCTGGAGTCTGCAATGACTGATACCAAGCTGATGTATCCCAAGTCAAACCAAAAAGGAAATTTAAGGTAGGAGAAGAGGATAACACGGAATAAGTTATGTAGAGATTTGGTGTTATATCAAAATTATTAATGGTCCCCTATCTTTCCACAGCTATATGTATATCTAAGCCTAAGAAGAAATACAACTAAAAGAGTTCAATAACTAATCCCAGTAGTAAACCCAAATGTTAGAAATAGACTTGGGGGACTAGTTGATAAGTCTGTAATCGCTATACCATTTTATTACAACAACAACAACAACAACAAAACCTTAATCCCACTACGTGGGGTCGGCTACATGAATCCTTTTTCTCCATTCTGTTCTATTTAGTGTCATATTTTCATTTAGTTCTAGTAAATTAAGATCATTTTTAATACAAGAAGCCCAAGTCTTCCTAGGTCTACCTGTGTCTTTCTTAACACAAGTCGAATCTAAAACATCTACTCTCCTAATCAGATCATCAGATGGTCGACGTTTAAGGTGACCAAACCATCTAAGATAACTTTCTCTAATTTTGTCCATCACAAGAGCTACACCAACCCTATCACGTATATATTCATTTTGCATTTTGTCTCTAAGTGTAAAGCCACTCATCCACCTAATCATTCTCATCTCGGCA